AAATAAATAAATGCATTCGATGGCAAAAAAAAATAAATATAGGGTTGGAACTATTTAAGTAAAAAGTTAAAACCATTGGCCTAAATCTTCAAAAATTATTTAATTTTTAAAAGTAAAACTAAATTCACAGTACCGTTTTATTTGTGTGTTGTGGGTAAACAAAATTGTTTTTTGGTTTTTTCATCCTATTCCAGGAAATTACTTTTTCCATAATTCTTTGTTGAAGAGGCTCTGCAACATTTTCAACCCACTTTTTATGCAGTATTTCTTTTCTTCTTTGTTTAAGAATATCCACATTCTGAATATACATGTCTAATCTCTAATGAAGAGAGAAAAGGCTATTATAAAATTTACTGTCACTTGAAAGAGGAGCGGTGCTCTTACATTCTCAGACACAGATAGATTGCAAAATGAATCTCTTTAACAACTCTTCATCACATTGTCATGCAAGCATAGCCAGGATGCTCTTGAAAAGTGAGGATGGATAAATCTTCCCACTTAACTTTGAACATGTTACCAAGAGGGACCAGTTCTTGAAGAAGGACATCACATGTGAGAGAGACTGCAACAATAGGCTCGGACACTGCAATGATTGTAAGTCTAATACAGGACTGGACAGTTTCATTCCATCGCACATGGAGACATTATGAGTTGGCACCAATTCAACAGCATCTAATTACACACATCACTTCTGCACACGTAGAATATACACAGAATACACACTCTGTAACCAGCTCTTACCTTTATAACATAATTTTCTCTAAGTAATATTGCATGTACAGCTTTATCAATATCTTCTCTAGCTAGTACCTAAAATTACAGAATTGAAAATTAGAATGCAAATTTGAAAGAAATAAAAATTACACAACTCAGTATATTAGTTTTAGTGTAAATTATGCCTGTGACCCACAACATACTTTATCACTTCTGATTACTGAAAATGTCAAACAGGATTCTTTATAAAACCCGGACCCAACAAGTAGCAAGTGAGAGTCACTATTATGTAAACCCTCTGCCCCACCCTCAATTAATTTGAGGCAAATTCCTGACATCAAACCACCACAATCACACTTTAAAATATTAAGAAAGCTTACAGATTAAAAGGGATCTTATGTGAAATGAATCTTCTTTTGGGATGTTCAGTAGTTATCTTCTTAAAGGGTTCCTGAAACCCTTTTCCTGAAAACCTTTTGCTAGGTTTTGTTGTAAGAAAACTGTATATCTCATTCAACCGGTCCAGAGTCACAGAGCTTGTTAGTAGCTAGTAGCCTTGATCGAGTTGTCTCACAACTAGGGACTTGATCTGGTGGTGTAGTCCATAGAGAGTTGCATTGCTAACCTAAAGGTTGTACCTCTCTGGTGGTTCAAAACCACCAGCTGCTCCAAGGGAGAAAGACAGGCAAATTTCTCCTGTGTGATTACAGCCTTTGAAACTCATTGGGTAGTCAGCTATGAGTTGATTCCAATTTGATGACAATGAGTTTGAGAAGGTGGTTTTGTTTTTATTTGTTTTTATGAACCTGGATAAAGTTTATACATTTAAATTCTTTTGTTGTTGCTGTTATATGCCGTTGAGTCACTTGCGACTCATAGCAACCCTATGTACAACAGCCCTAAACCCTATAATAATTTCCACACTCTGTTGGAGCGTCTTTTTTTTGGAACAGGAACAAATACAGATCTCTTCCAGTCAATAGGCCAGTTTGTTGTTCACCAGATTTCTTGGCACAACATGGTGAGCACATCCAGGGCAGCATCTGTTTGTTGAAATATGTCAATTGGTATGCCATCAATTCCTGGGGCGTTGTTTTTTTGCCATTTCTTTCAGAGCAACTTGAACTTACTCCATCACCACAGGCTCTTGCTCATATGTTGTTTCATTTAATTCTTCTGTGTTCAACAATTCCATTTGGTACAATGACTGTATACTCTCCATCTTCTTTTAATGCTTCCTGGATTGTTTAATATTCTTCCCAAAGTATCCTTAAGTATTGCAACCCGAGGTTTGAATTTTTTCTTCAGTTCCTTCCGCTTTAGAAATGCTGAACGAGTTCAGCCCTTTTGATTTTCTGAATCTAGCTCCTTGTACATCTCATTGTAATACTTTGTCTTCCCGCGTTGCCCTCTGAAATCTTCTGTTCAATTCCTTTATATCTTGATTTCTTCTCTTTGCTTTGGCTTCTCAGTGCTCCAGTGCAATATTTAGAGTTTCTTCTGACATCCGTCTTGGCATTTTCTTCCTCCTATCTTTATAATGACCTTTTGCATTCTTCCTGGATGATATTGAGATCTTCCCACAGGTCATCCAGTCTTCACTCATTAATGTCCCAAGTCTCAAACCTGTTCCTGAGATGGTTTTGAAATTCAGGTGGGATAGACTAAAGGTCAAATTTTGGTTCCTGTGGACTTGATTTAATTTTCATCAGCTTCAGCTTGAACTTGCATATGAATAGTTGGTCATCTGTTCCACAGTCAGCACCTGGCCTAGTTTTCACAGCTGATATTGACCATCTCCAGCAATTAGAGATGACAGAAGGAGAGTTGGTACCTTTGAACTTTGATGCTGGAGAAGAGTACTGAATATACCATGGACTGCTAGGAGAACAAACAAGTTTGTCTTGAAGAGGGTGAAGCCAGGCTGCTCCTTGGAGGCAAGGATTCTGAAGCTCCATCTGACATACTTAGGACATGTTGCAAGGTGTGATCAGTCCTTGGAGAGGGACGTCATGTTTGGGAGCGTGGAGAGACAACACAGGAGAGGAAGACACTTGATGAGATGGATTGATTCAGTCACTGGGGTAATGTGGGTAGGTGTGTCAGAGACAGTAAGACTGGCAAGGGATAGAGCAGGGTTTAGGGCTGTTGTACATAGGGTCACTATGAATGGCAAGTGACTCGACAGCACATAAAAAACCCAATAATATAAATGAAATTTTGCTTAAAATCTTCTCATATTTAAGATATCAACTGACAAATTATATAAAGTGTTTTGAGGTAACAGTCAACATTTTTTCCTTCTTTTTTTTTTTAATTTTAATGTAAGTTTAGAGAGACTTAGGGTTTTCATTCATTCATTGGTGCACTTTTCTCCCTGCCCACTCCCCCCCAAATTCACTCTTCTCTTTTAAAAGTAAAAGAAAAATTCTTTCATTGTTACACCATCTCCCCCACCCCAAGTCCATTCCACTATGTAGCCTTCATTCTGGACTCCTGTCATGACAATGATACCTAATCATATATCCCTTTTAAACAGTTCTCTCCCTCATCTGTTTCAATGCAGTATACATAATTTATCCCTCTTCCTCAGTCTTCCCTCAACCCCAATGTCAGTCCTGTTTTACAACAGTGGCCCTATGTAATATTTGTCCTTTTGTGACTGAGATATTTCACTCAGCATGATATTCTCCAGGGTCATCCATTTTGTATGTCATGAGTTCTTTGTTTTTCAGTGCTGCATAGTATTCCATTATGTGAATATACCACAGCTTCTCTATCCATTCATTTGCTGATGGGCACTTGGGTTGTTTCCAACTCTTTGCTGTTGTGAACAAAGCCGCAATAACCATGGGTGTGCATATCTGCTTGGGCAGCAGTTATGGTTTCTTTAAGGAACAGTCAACATTTTTGTTGTTTTTGCATACCATAGAGTTGGAACCAAACCAGAGTCAAAACTGACCCACTGATGAACCTCCAGCAGGTTTTCAGAAGCAGTTAATCACATGGGAGGAAACTGCCCATCCTCCTCTAGTGGACCAGTTGGTGGCCTTAAACCACGTCTTTGAGATTGCAGTGCAGCTTTTCTTGCCATTAGGACACCTAATAAATTACCATTCCTTTGGAGAGGTACAAACTTACATGCTGATATGTCAATTTGAGGAAACACAATATTCTGAGGCAGCCTAGTAACACTGTAAGGAACCCTGGCAGTGCAATGAATTGTCAATTGGTTGGAATCCACCAACAGCCCTGAATGAAGGATGAGATAAGCTGCTTTATGTTTCAGGCTTGATAACCATAAGGTTCTCCTCTGTTCTATAGGGTCATTTTGAATCAGGATCCATCAAAGAGCAGTGGGTAGCCACACTATTGGCAAATGTTACATAGACTTTCCATCATGTGGTAGATTTTAAAACAAACATTTTAAGAAATAAACCACTTACGTCATTAATTTTGTTATCGGGTACTGTCAAATTCACTATGACTCAGCAACCCTATGAACAGACTGACAAATACGGTCCTATCCTGCGCAACTGCTCACAAATCCCAACATGCACAAGCCCACTGTTGAAGTTACTGGGTTAATCCATCTCTTTGAGGGCTTTCTCTTTCGTCAGCTCTCTTCTTTTGCAAGATGTCTTTTTGTATGATGCCTTTTTCCAAGGACTTGTCACTCCTGACAATATGCTGAAAGCATGTGAGAAAAAGTTTCTCCGACCTGGCCTCTAAGGAGCACCTTAAGTGTGCTTCCTCCAAGACAGACTTGTTTCAGTCCATGCATATTGAATAGTCTTCACTAGTACCACAATTCAAAGGTATCAACTCTTCTGCATCCTTATTGACTTTCCAACCTTCACATGCATACAAAGTAACTGAAAATATCATGGCTTGGGGCAAGAGCCATGTATTTTCTCTAAACTGACATCTTTGCTCTTTAGCACTTAGTATCCAAACTGACACCTTGTTTTTTAACACTTTAGAGCAATCTTTAACAGAAAATCTTGCCACTGTAAAGCAGTTTTGGATTTCTTGATTGTTGCTACCATGCTGTTGACTAGAGATCCAAGTAAAATGAAATAATTGACAACTTTAATCTTTTCTCCATCTATCATTGTATTACCCATATTGAAGTGTAATCCATACTGAAGGCTGTAATCTTTTATCTTCTTCAGTAAGTGCTTCAAATCTTCAGCAAGCAAGATTGTTTTATCTGCATAAAACAGGTTGTTAAGGAGTTCTTCTCCAATCCTGATATCATGTTCTTCTTGGCATAGTTTGAATTCACTCAAATTCTTTGCCATCAAGTCAAAACAGACTCAGAGCTGACCATCCAGTAGGTTTCCAAGGCTGTAAATCACTCAGGAGGAGACTGCTCCTTTCTCCTACTGAGCTGTTGGCAGATTAGAACCACCGTGGAGTTACAGCCCTTGGATTAGCAGAGCAGCTGCCTCTGGACCAGGTCATCAGAGCTATAGGTAGTGCAGCGTCTTGAATTGTTTGCTCCGCATAGAGACTGAATAGGTTTGAAGAAAGGATACAACCCTGACTCACATCTTTCCCAATTTTAAATCATGCAGTATCTCATTCTGTTCAAACAACTGCGATTGATAGATCCTTCTTAAAGATCTTGCCAGAAAATATTAAGAAAAATGTTTAGAAATCCTTTTCAAACCTACAACATCCTATGCCCATACATACAAAAATTAAGCATGTCTCTGTGTGTAGAAAGATACAATGGAAACTTGAAGAGATAGGGTGATAAAAAGCATAAGATCAGGGAGCTCTGGTGGCCTAGTGGCAAGAAGCTGCACTGCAATCCCAGGGGTGCATGGTTCAAATTCACCAGATTCTCTGCTGGAGAAAGAGGGACAATCAAAATAAACAAAATAAAAAAAAAATTTAAAAGAGGCACAAGCTCACAGATCAATAACATTATATAAAACAATGTATATGAATGACTGTATAAAACGCAATGTACATGAATGAAACACAATGTGTATAAGTGATTCTACGGAATCCAATAAAATATTTTAAATCTTTGTTTTCTATTAGTTTGCAAACACAATTCATATACATTGTGTTTCACACCTTTTCCTTCATTCACATCGTGTTTCTCACAATCATTCCCATGCGCCTGCTGCAGAGTGTCAAGGACTGCAGCCTCCAATATGGATTGAGGCTCAATGTCAAGAAGACAAAGATTCTCACCACTGGACCAATTGGCAGCATCAGGATGGATGGTGAAGAGACTGAGATTGTACACAGCTTTAGTTTGCTTGGCTCCATATCAACAGTCTTGGCACCAGCAGCCAGGAAATTAAAAGGCGCATTGCCATGGGAAAGTCTGCTGTTAGGGACCTCTCCAAAGTACTGAAGAGCAATGGTGTCTCTGGAGACTAAGGTGCGTCTGATACAGGCTATGGTCTTCGCAATCACCTGTTATGCATCAGAGAGTTGGACAATGACCAAGGAGGATAGAAGGAGAATTGATGCCTTTGAGCTGTGGTGCTGGAGAGGAGTATTGAGAATACCATGGACTGCTAGGAAAACAAACAGATTTGTCCTGGAAAGGGTCAAACCGGGTGGCTCCTTGGAGGCAAGGATTCTGAGGCTCCGTCTAACATACTTTGGACATGTTGTGAGGAGAGACCAGTCCTTGGAGAGGGACATCATGCTTGGGAGGGTGGAGGGACAGCGCAGGAGGGGAAGACCCTCTATGAGATGGATTGATTCAGTGACTGGGGTAATCGGGATGGGAGTGTCAGAGGCAATGAGATTGGCACAGGACAGAGCGGAGTTTAGGGCTGTTGTACATAGCGTCGCTGTGAGTCGCAAGCTACTCGACGGCACATAACAACAACAACAACAACAAGACCACTATTACCCTGCCTTTTCAGGTCCTTGCCAGACCTTTCCCACCTCCTTTACTCCCTCTCTCCACCCAAAAATTGTTCAACCCTGTGATCCCCTAGCCTCACCTTTCTGCTCCTACCCCACCCCCCTGACCTAACCTTCTATTTTTACAATAATGGTTTACGCAGACAGGGTGATGGTGGACTTAGCCCCGAGGCTCAGCTGGTGGGTTTGGTTAGCAGTGCTGAACCCCGGTGTCACCATGGCTCCTTAGTTCTCGTTCTTACGGAGCTTATGACCCATCACCATACAGCACCTCAAAATGCCATGTTATTTTACCTCCATTAAAGACACGGCTTCGGGGTCTGGCCATTCTTTTAATTTTTCTGGCCTAAAAGGGTCATCATAGTTCGAAGTTCTCATGGCAGCCATAAGAAAACACAATTTCTAAGAGGAGAAAAGTAGAGGATTAAGGAAAAATTATTACAAGGGGGTGGCTTTCTGAATTCTCACTTTCCCGCGAATAAGCAAAACAAAAACACAGGAGTAAGTAAAAGGAAAGCCCCTCGGCCCGGCCTTCTAAAAGTGATTCTATCTCCCCCTCAGCTGGTTTTAGGAACCAAATCAGGGCTCTGTGCTCCGGGTCCGCCCTGTCCTGGACCCGGGGTGTTAACGACCTCGCTCAGGAGAGACGGGCGAGGGACCAGACACCTCGACGGGGCCCTAAGGTGGCTCTCAGATCTCATTCCGGAGAAGGGGTGTCCTCGCTTCCTGCCTAAAACTGAGAGCCATAACCCAGGGGCCCAAAGCTGGGTCCAGACTCCACCTCACCAGAGCGGTGGCCGCTCAAGGGGGTCGTTGCCCCGCCTGGGGTGGGCCCTCAGGCCTGCAAACTCTGCCCCGGCCCCTATCGCCGCGACGCCCACTCCCGACCAGTGAGCTCGAGGGTTTCTACTACCCCGAGGCCGCGCCAACGGTCCGCGCGGGCCGCCACAGTGAGGGCAACGCCCCCTTCCCGTCAACGCGGTCTACTACAGCGCGGGCCACGCCCCCCACCCGTCAACGCGGGCTACTACAGCGCGGGCCACGTCCCCCACCCGTCAACGCGGGCTACTGCAGCGAGGGCCCCGCCCCCAGCTGGTCAGGACGGGCGGCCACAGTGCGAGCCACGCCCCCTCTACCTGTGACGGGCCGTCCTCCGTGAGAGCAAGTGGACAGCTTCAGCCTTCCCCCTCACAGTGGCTGGTGGATTCAGGTTGCTGACCCACGAAGGTTCCACCAAGGTTCCTAGTCAAGGAGACGAGCTGCAGGAAGAATGTGACGGCTATCCCCTGGTCTTGCCCCTAGACCTGACAAGCCTTTGGAAAAACCTGATAATTTACATATCCTGATAAGGAGACTAGATGGCTGGATCCTGATAAGGCCCTGGGCCTGATCACACATAGACAGGACCACTGCTCTCAAACTCAGGAGCAAACTAACACCCTCTCTGAGAGTCCCTGAAAGCCCCTATAAAAGGAAACTGTCTTTGCCTGCCTGCACACCACTCTGAGCCTCTCTCCCAGCAGTCACCAGGCATTTCTGCGCTCAAAACATGCAACAAAGGCCTGTTTGTTACTTGGGACCACCTTGCTTGCTTGCTTTCTTTCTCTTGCTTTCTCTCTTCCTCCTTTTCTTCCTTCCTTCCTTCCTTCCTTCCTTCCTTCTTCTCTTTCCTTCTCTTTCTTGCTTTCTCTCTTGCTTTCTTTCTTTCTCTCTTCCTTCTTCCTTTCTTTTTTTCTCTCTTTTTCTCCACTCTTTTTTCCTAACACTCGCTAGACTACCACTCTTACCCCTTAAGTTTATCAGATCAACAGGAGCAAGGGCTTCTTTTTGAAAATTTACATTGAAGGGTATAGTTAAAGAGTTGAATTACCCAACACTCTCTAAGCAACTTTACCTACCTATTACAGTTTTCAGAAAAGATTCTCTTAAATAAGACAAGATAGGAAATACAAATGAGAAAGATTACATTCCACTAAAGCCTGAGAAAATCACTGATAGGTCAGAGGGGTTGAAAAACTTGTAAAGCAAATGACTGCCAACATTTAAATTCATATCTTTCTAATCCAAAATACATACTCTTTATCTTATGCTATAGTGCCTTTCCAACCACCCAGGATGCATCTGAGAGCTGGACAATGAATAAGGATGACAGAAGAATCAATGCCTTTGAGTTGTAGTGTTGGAGATGAGTGCCAGATAGCCCATGGATTATCAAAAGAACAAACAGGTATGTCTTAGAGAAAGTGCAGTGAGGTGCTCCTTAGAGACAAGGGTGGAGCAGCTTTGTCTCACTTTAGGGATGTTGCTGTTGTTGTTAGGGCATTCATATTGATTATAACTCATAGAGATTCTGTGAACAACAGACCTGACCCCAGTCTATCCAGTTCCAACTTCACAGTCTCTGACACACTTGAACCCATTGGAGCAGTCACTATATCAGTCCACCTGGCTGAGGGTCTGTCTTTCTTTTACCATCCTCCCCATCTTCCAAGCATGATGCCTTTCTCCAAGGAATAACCATTCCCAACAACATGGAAGATGAAACCTTGCCATTCTAGCCTACAAGAAGGATCATGTTTGGAAAGGTGAAGGGTCATCAAAAGGAAGGAAGACCTTCAGCCAAACGATTAACACGATGACTGACACAATGGACTCCAATAAATCAAAGACAATGAGGATGGCACAGGATAAGACAGGGTTCAGATCTGTTCTTCATAGGATCGCATTGAGTCATACTTGACGCTACAGCACATAACAACGTAGTGACTTTTCACTAACTAGCCATGTATTTGTTAATGTTCTATTATTTTTCTTATTGACTTAACAGCTTTAAATATTTTTTATTTGTTGTTGTTGTTATGTGCCATCAAGTCACTTGCGACTCATAGCGACCCTATGTACAAGAGCTCTAAATGGTGTTCTATCCTGTGCCAACCTAGCCATCTCAAACGCACTTATTCCCACCGCTCCAGTCACGGAATCGATCCATCTCACCAAGGTCTTCCTCTCCTTCGCCGCCCCTCCACTCTGCCAAACATGATGTCCCTCTCCAAGGACCAGTCCCTCCTTGCAACATGCCCAAAATATGTCAGACGAAGCTTCAGAATCCTTGACTCCAGGGAACATTCTGGCTTCACCCTCTCCAGGACAAACCTGTTTGTTCTCCTAGCAGTCCATGGTATATTCAACACTCTTCTCCAGCACCACAGCTCAAAGGCATCAATCCTCTTTCTATCAACTCTATTCACTGTCCAACTCTCTGATGCATAGCACATAATTGCGAAGACTACAGCCCGGATCAGGCGCACCTTAGTCTCCAGCCTGACATCGTTGCTCTTCAGTACTCTTGAAAGGTCCCTCACAGCCGACTTTCCCAATGCAATTTATCTCTTGATTTCCTGGCTGCTGTTACCAAGAGTGTTGACTGTGGGGCCAAGTAAATTAAAACTGTTAACTATCTCAATCTCTTCACCATACATGCTGTTGCTGCTAATTGGCCCAGTGGTTAGAATCTTTGTTTTCTTGACATTTAGCTTCAGTCCATATAGGAGGCTGTAGTCCTTGATCTTCTGCAGCAAGCACCTCAGGTCCTCCTCAGTTTCAGCAAGCAGGGTTGTGTCATCTGCATAACGCAGGCTGTTGATGATTCTTCCACCAATCCTGATGCCACATTCCTCTTCGTACAGCCAAGCGTCTCGGATGGTCTGTTCTGCATACAGATTGAAAAGGTATGGAGACAGAATACATCCCTGACAAACCCCCTTCTTGATTTTGAACCATGTAGTGTCTCCTTGCTCTGTTCTGACAACTGCCTCTTGGTCCAAGTATAAGTTTCGCATTAGCACAATCAAATGTTCTGGGATTCCCATTCTTCTTAGAGTCAGCAACAGCTTGTTGTGATCCACACAGTCAAAAGCCTTTGCATAATCAGTGAAGCACAGATAGACATTCTGGTATTCTTTGCTTTCTGCTAAGATCCATCTGACATTAGCTATAATATCCCTATTAAGAAGAGGTACCACGACCTCTTCTAAATCCAGCCTGCACATCTGGTGATCTCTGTTGACATATTGTTCCAAACATTTTTGGAAAATGTTCAGCAGAATCTTGCTTGCATGTGATATCAATGATATTGTTCGATAATTTCTACACTCTGATGGGTCACCTTTCTTTGGAATGGGAACAAATATCGATCTTTTCCAGTCAGTGGGCCAGCTAGCTGTTCTCCAAATTTCTTGGCACAACTTAGCGAGCACATCCAGGCCATTGTTTGTTTGTTGAAATATGTCAATTGGTATGCTGTCAACTCCTGGAGCCTTGTTTCTTGCCAATTCCTTCAGAGCAATTTGAACTTCCTCTTTCATCACCATAGGCTCTTGCTCATATGTCATTTCATGAAATTCTTCTGTGTCAGCCAATTCCTTCTGATACAGTGACTCTGTGTATTCCTTCCATCTTCTCTTGATACTTTCTGGATCATTTAATATACTGCCCAAAGTATCCTTAAGTATTGCCACCCATGGTTTGAATTTGTTTTTCAGCTCCTTCAGCTTAAGAAACGCTGAGCGAGTTCATCCCTTTTGATTTTCTGACTCCAGCTCTCCGCATATTTCATTATAGTTGAGACAATCAATGTGTTTATATTGTTCTAACCTTCTCAGTCCCAATTTATATGTTTATAGGACTTTTTCTGTTCACAACCATATTCCCGTCTTTATGTTGGTGTTTGCCTTTCAGTTAATAGATGCTATGCTCATTGTCAGTCCTGTCACTTTATTGTCTCTATGTCTTCATTGACTCAGATTCTTTCTTTGGCAATTTTTTTTTCAAGAAAGGCACATAGGAACAATATTCCCCTAGTTCTTGCTTATTTAAATATGCCTGTTGCCATTTTAATTTAATGTCATCTTGTCTGTAAATTTAAAATTCTTTGTATACACATTCCCTGGGTGCTTGATTGGCCTCCTTGTACTGTTTTTCTAGTGAGGACCATTGCTATGGAGATACGGATGCCACCGTAATTTGTTCCTCCATGAAATGGTTTACCTTTTTCCCCTAACTGCTCCAAGAATTCTTAATCTTTAAAGAATATCTGAGTATTGACCTCTGTGCCTTTTAAAAAATAATCTATAGTGTGCCCTTTTTCTAAAAAAAAATATTATTTTGGGGTGTTTTTTTTAATTCACATTGTGTTTCTTACTATCATTCAATATCGCACACCTTGTGTCTTATAAATTTAATCACCATTACTGAGTCTTCTCAGATCCCCACTGGATCTCTCCTAATTATTTTGCCCCCTCCCTCCACCAAACCCTGCAATCCCGTGATGTCCCCTTTCACCATCCTCAGCCTTCTCTCTTTGGATATCCACACACAAA